TCAGTATAGCCCACCAGAGTAGGTATATCACCTCCAAAATAAATCCTCAAACTGGTAGTACCATGAAGATACCTCAAAATCCATTTCACAGCATTCCAATGCTCTCTACCTGGATTATACAGAAGTCTACTGACTGTACCAACAACATGTGCAATATCAGGTCTTGTACACACCACTGCATACATCAAACTCCCCACAGCATATGCATAAGGAACCTGTTGCATATCTAATTTTTCAGCTTCATTGGAAGGACTCTGATTAACACTCAATTTGAAATGAGCAGCAAGAGGAGTACTTACAGCCTTAGCATTTTCCATCTGGAACCTCTGAAGCACCCTTTTAACATAGTGTTCCTGTGACAGCCAAAGTTTCTTCTTGTTCCTGTCACGCATGATTCTTATACCAAGAATCTGATTAGCAGCTCCCATGTCTTTCATGGAAAATGACTTGCCCAATTGCTTCTTCAACCTGTCAATCATGGAAATATTTTTCCCAACAATAAGCATGTCATCAACATACAATAACAGAATAATGAAATTATTATCAGCAAACTTTTTAACAAAGACACAGTGATCAGAAGTAGTCTTCTTGTAGCCTTGCTCACACATAACAGACTCAAACTTCTTGTACCACTGAAGCGAGGCTTGCTTCAAGCCATATAGGCTCTTTCTCAATCTGCATACATAGTCTTCCTTGCCTTTAACAAGAAAACCATCAAGTTGCTTCATGTAAATCTCTTCCTCCAAATCACCATGAAGGAAAACAGTTTTTACATCCATTTGCTCTACCTCTAGATCAAGAGTAGCAGCCAAACCCAACACGGTTCTTATGGATGACATCTTCACCACAGGAGAAAAAATCTCATTGAAATCAACACCCTTTCTTTGTCTGAAACCTTTCACCACCAATCTGGCTTTATATCTTGGAGATGTAGAATTGCTTTCTTGCTTTACCTTGTAAATCAACCTATTTTCCAAAGCCTTCTTGCCCTTAGGCAATTTCACCAAATCAAAAGTGTGATTATCATGCAAAGACTTCATTTCATCTTGCATAGCATCCAGCCACTTCTTTTTTTCATCACTCTCCATGGCCTCATTAAAACACTCAGGTTCTCCTTCATCTGTCAAGGTAACATAGTCATCAGAAGGATACCTGGTAGATGGTTTTCTCTGCCTATTAGACCTCCAAAGTTGAACTTGAGGTGGTTCAAGATCATCACCAAGATCTTCATCTTGTGACATCTCATGTTCCTCTTCAGCATCATCAACAAGAATATCTACATCATCTCCAAGCTGCTGGTCACCAACATCATCATGTTGCTCATCATTCTGAACATTATTTTCAGCAGTATCCAGATCATGTACAGGCCTCCGAACTGGATCAACATCAGACAAACTATTATCAATCTCTGGTGTAGTCTTCTTCATCTTATCAATGTCTTCAATGGTTTGGTCTTCCATGAACTTCACATCACGGCTTCTAACAGCTTTCTTCCCAATTGGATCATATAGCTTGTAGCCAAATTCATCCTGACCATACCCGATAAAAATACATTGCCTTATCTTCGCATCCAACTTAGATCTCTCATCCTTTGGAACATGAACATATTCTTTGCAACCGAAGACACGCAAATGATCATATTTGACATTCTTGCCAAACCAAATTTTGTCTGGCACCTCTGCATTCAAAGCAACCGCAGGACTCAGATTAATAACATGCACTGCCGTGTATAATGCTTCACCCCAAAAATGTTTAGGCAACTTTGCTTCAGAAAGCATACACCTAACTCTTTCAATCAAAGTCCTATTCATCCTCTCCGCTAAACCATTCAGCTGAGGAGTTTTAGGAGGAGTCTTTTCATGTTTGATACCGTGCTGCTTGCAATAAACATAAAATGGTCCACAATACTCACCACCATTGTCAGTACGAATGCATTTCAGCTTCTTGCCTGACTGTCTCTCCATCATAACATGGAACTCTTTGAATTTCTCCAGAACTTGGTCTTTTGTATTCAAAGCATAGACCCAAAGCTTCCTGGAACAATCATCAATAAAGGTAACAAAATAAAGTGCACCACTAAATGACTTTACCTTCAACGGGCCACAAACATCAGAATGCACCAATTCAAGCAACTCCGACTTCCTTGAGGGAGGATGCTTCTTGAAGGATACTCTAGTCTGCTTACCAGCCATGCAATGAGAACATTTCTCCAACTCTGCACTCTTCAATCCCGGAAGCACATCCTTTTTAGCTAAACAATTCAGCCCCTTTTCACTAATATGACTAAGCCTGCGGTGCCACAAAGAAGCCTCCATATCCATGACATTCACACTGTCTTTAGCAACCAATGCTTTAGTCCAATACAGTTTATTATCTTTCTCCCCTCTAGTCATAACCAAGTTACCTCTGGTGAGTTTCCATTTTCCAGAACCAAAGTGATTATCATAACCACCTTCATCAAGCATATGCACAGAAATCAAATTGAAGCGAACATCTGGAGCATGTTTGACTCCTCTCAGCAACAACTGCACTCCCATGTTGGTCTGCAAACAAATATCACCAATACCAACCACCTTGTACACACCATCATTACCCATCTTCAACACTCCAAAGTCACCAGCAATGTAAGATGTGAAGAACTCCTTCCTTGGTGTAACATGCAGTGTAACAACACTATCAACAACCCACATGCTCTCATCTGATACAAAATTGACTGAATCATGGTCACGGAGAATAATCAGATCATCACAAGTAGCAGTAGTAACACGGTCATCATCATCATGATTCTTATCTCTCTGCTTACTATTATTGTTTCTGTTCTCCCTTTTCCATATGAAACAGTTTTTCTGCATGTGTCCCATTTTGTGACAATGATTACACTCAACATTCTTGTATCTGGACTTGGACTTACTTCTGTTGTTGTCTCTACTCGCACTCCTGCCACTCTGCCGGTTCTCTTTCGGTTCCTTTTTCTGACTCCTGCCTCTGTTCTCAGTGACAAGTACCTCAGAATGAGATGAAGTACCCTGTGCCTTCATTCTCATCTCCTCATTTAGAACACTTCCCTTTACACTTTGCAAAGAGACAACACCATCAGAAGCTGAGTTTGTAATTGAAACCCGAAAAGTTTCCCAAGAATCTGGTAGAGTATTCAGTAGCCATAGTCCCAAAATTTCATCATCAAATTTGATACCCATACCTGATAATTGATCTAGGAGCCCTTGAAAATCATTCAAGTGATCAAAAATAGAAGTTCCCTCCTTGTACCTCAAATTCATCAAGGAATTCAACAAATACAACTTATTATTCCCTGATTTAGAAGCATACAAAGATTCAATCTTCTTCCACAAGGATTTGGCATGTTCCTCATTAGCAATGTGATTATAAACATTGTCTTCTACAAATTGCCGAATAAAACCACAAACCTGCTGATGTTAAAAATTCCACTCTTCATCAGTTTTGGATTCCGGCTTCTCACTAGCAAACACAGGAAGATGCATATTTTTCACAAATAACAGATCCTTCATTTTTCCCTTCCACAAATGATAATTAGTGCCATTCAAAGAAATCACTCTATTTGTATTTGCCTCCATCATTCAAACAAGTCAAACAACCCCTTAACCAAAGAGCTCTGATGCCACTCTGATGGGAAATTCAACAACAATTAACAGTAACAACTCTAATAGAGCAATACACAACGGATATAATTTCCCCAACTTGTTGAATCTGTGAGGAGCAACAACAAATAATGCAACAACTAAAAATCAACAACACAAAGAGACACCAAGATTTTTAACGTGGAAAAAACCTTCTCAAAGTGAGAAGTAAAACAACCACGGGCACAAGCCAGTAAACAAACTCCACTATGATCAATGTATGGGTACAAGAGAGTCTCAAATGTAGCACAAATCATGCTCAACAATCAGCCAAAACAACAAGGCAACAAAACATGAAATAGAGAACAAAGAAGAACCAGAAAACTCCAAAGCGATGCTACTGTGCATGGCCAATATCTCCCATCTCAGACCTCTGATCGCCGATCACACCGTTCATATTGAAGAACTGGATGTCAGGAACCCGCAGTTCAAATTTCGGCCAAATCGGACGGTGAACGAAGGAGATATCGCAATTCTAGTGCAGCTGCTATGTGTATGTGCGAAAATCTGTTTCTCTTCTCTTCTCTCACTTTTTTCTTGCCTCTCTTGCCTAAATCAGACCTCTCACTCTTACTCTAATTGAACCCTCTCCACTTAGATAAGTGAGACACATGAGTTTGCACATATGGGGTCTTTCTCCACATAGGATAGGAGCCCAAAACCCAACAAATAGCGGTGAATAGTCTAATACCTTTGAACTTAGATAAATATCAATATCTTGTCCAATCAAATTTTATTATTTAATAACACATCATTTTTTATAATTATTTTATTTTAAAATAAATTTAAATTCTAAACTAATTTTCACAAAAGGTATCTATATCCAATTACTTATTGTGAATATTTAAAAATTTGTCTAATAATAAATGCAACACGGCGGCATGAGAAATGAAATATTTTTCTATGATAAGAAGTTATAAAGTTATTTTTTATAAAAATTCCAATTGAAAATTTTATTTGAATAATTATTTTAAAAATATTATTTTATTGAAATTTTTTGGATATTAAAATTTCAAAAATTCACTTAATTTTTAAACTATTTCATAAAAATTATTTTTGAAATATAATTTATTTAAAAAATTACGATTTTGATTGTGTTTTAATATTTAATAATGTATATTTATATTAAAATTAGTCTTTCAATTTAAAAAACAATTTTTTTATAATATTTTAAAAAACAAAATCTATTTTTAAAAATAAATTATTTTTTTAAAGCTAGAAAAAATCTACCATAATTGTGATTAAGAAAAATGTAACACAACACTCTTAATAATTCTTTTTACTATTACTAACATTTAACAATAAAAGTAGTGAAAAGTGGGTGTGCATTCATTTGAGAAAGCAATGTCATATGGTGCCAGTGACAGGTACCAAACAATATTACACAGAAATATTTGCACTACCAAACTGTGTATTCTTCTTCTGACTGTTTGGTATAAACCACAACAAACCTTCGTGATTTTGTAGAAGCTTTATTTTGCTGAGCATTTTTAAAATATTTTTTTATAGAAAATGCCAAATAAGAAAACCGACATCATAATGAACGACTTTGATTCTATCTGTGACCACAAAATCCACGTGTCCGCATCACATTAGTTCCTTCCTCTTTTTCTTATTTCTCCAAAATAATAAAAAATTACTAATTCGATATTTTAGTTTTCCAACTGCCGAAGCAAAATTCCGTTTCTCCATTTGTTTCTTTATTTTATATTTTTATTTATTATTATAAAATTTTCCGCTCCTCTTTCCTTTTCTAGCTTTCTCTTCTCCTGGAAAATTTCATTCCAATTTTCTCGAGAAAAGACGCAGGTTCGAACCCTATCCCTAATTTTTCCTTTCAATGCTTTCTGCGATTCATTGTTAACGTTCCATTGTTCCTATTGCACCGTTTTTCGTTTCGCGTTTTTTCTTCTCCATCTCCATTTACTCGAGGTCTAGGGTTTTGGCCATTGTATAATATTTGTATTGAAAATTCATCGTTGTTTGTTGAACGCGTTTATCCATTGTTAAATCTGAAAGAAGGCTGGAATATGTATCTATGTGATGGTTTTTGAATTGATTGTATTAGCTTTTTGAGTTTACCTTGCTTTGCTGAACTTGTTTGTGTGATGAATTGAATTGCAATTATGTTAGGTTAACCTTCATGTGGTTGAATTCGTAAAGTACTGTCAATCTTTATTGCTAGTGAGAAGTAAAATTATTGTTTATAGATTCTGTGATCAGGGTTTTAAAAAACAGTCCGCAACCGCTGCAACAAAACCGTATGCTGATACCGATAATGTTATATGTTAAAAAACAAATTGTGGTTAATTCACACTGCGACGACCGCAATCGGTGTTGTGACACATGTACTGATTGATATTTGTCTGTGATGTTTACCCTTAGCAGTTGTGAATAGGAAATACCAATGTTACTAACACGTTTAGTAGTTGAATGTACCCTGTTGTGTTGTCTATCATGTTGTCTATCCGTTTCTTTTGGATGTTGGTGGTTTGTATTAATTCGAAATTGCTTTGTACTGTTTCTGTTTATAATGATGTCTCATGCCTAAATAGAAAATAATTGATAAGTAGGATCATATCCTTGCTTCAGAGAATAACAGTGATAATGCGAAGAAATGTGTATCGATGATTAAAAATTATTATGTCCACCTTGGATTCTGAGATAGTTTGTAATAATATATGTGACTTAGTCTTGTTTAACTCAACTGGAATGACAGCTGCCGGATGATTATGTGTCCAATTTGTTGTTTAGATCAACTTTCAATATGAGATTTTTTCACTTATCCTTTTTTGATGTACCTACTCGTGCTCTGTGATCATGTGTCTAGTTTAAGCTAATTGATGCGAAGACAATCAGAAAATAGTTAGGAGCATATATGGCTCCGTAGTTAGAAATTGTTATATAGAAGTTCTTGAACTGTTTTGTGATTGATAAAAAATGGCACAAGCTCACCAGCTCACCAGCTCACAGTTCTATGATGATTGGTCTTTTCTATATCCCTATCCCCTATCATATTATGGAACTCTGTACAATTTAAGTTATTAATATCTTGACATGTAGATGTTGAATGATGTTTTAAATTTTGAATTTTACGTGCAAATGACATTATTGGAGCTTTGGGAGTTTTTGATATTTTATTACTTAGGTTTAGTACTATTACCAAATCTTTATTATTATCTTGAAGTTGAACATGCCTATTAGTTGAACCACCTGTAATTGCTTCAAATATTGAGTGAAGATTTTTTTAATAGGTAAGCGCTATTTCTGAGGTAATTCAATTGTCAGTGCATGATAGATTTCCTATCTCAATTCAGGTTTTCTACATACATCAAAAGGAAACTTCTTTGGCTGCTGTTGATGGACTGTTAGTTCTGTGTGCTACGTGTTTAAGTTTGATGATGCATCAAAAGGGCAGTTTTCTTGTTTTATATACTGTATCTTAAAGGGTTCCGGTTTCCACTTTTAAGTAATATAGAAAGGCAGAAAGAGGGAAAATCAAACGAAGTAGGAGGTTTTGTAGGAGTGGAGACACTTCACACTGTCTGGAATATAACAAAGCATAGAGTTGATCAAATCAAAGGAAAACATTCTTTCCAACCATTTTCTAATTTTCCGGCGAATGGGTTTGACGAATATTCTATGCTCTTGCATATTTCTTTTTAGTGTCGTTGATTCCACTAGCAGATTTGGGAGTATGTGGCCCCAAAATGTAGGTGGGGAGTCTACAGGAACTGTTAGCTGGACAGTCTTCAGTGCAAGTATATTTGTGCTTGTTGCCCTTGTCCTCTCCATGTACCTAATATTCGAACATTTAGCTGCATATAATCAGCCCGAGGTTTATACCCTACTTATTTTTCCTCCTGCATTACCCTTCCTTTCATTTCATAATATTATCTTAATTTAAATGTGCAGAAGTTAAGTCTTTCTATATTTTTTTTAATCAGGAGCAGAAGTTTTTGATTGGTCTCATTTTAATGGTTCCTGTCTATGCATTGGAATCGGTAAGAGATGCCAAGTAAATGGCCAGATACTCTCCTTTCTCATTATTTATCATAATGGCATCATTTACTTGGGTCTATTAATTCTAAAGAGTTCTTATGTCATTGTCTTCCACAGTCAGACTAAAATGCTCCTCTTTTCACATCCATTGGGCTAGTTGGTTTTCGAGAATTTCCTGGCATCTAATAGCGATCTTTACCATATGTTATTGTTAATTAATTCTGAATATGCCTCCTTTTTATTGATAACAGATTTTAGTCTTGTTTAACTTGTATTAAGAAAAAGCCTGGGTTATGTATTCCTGAAAGGACCATCTGTACTGACTTGAGGCCAATCAATAACTTTTAATAGTATATTGTTATGTTCTGATGTTTATATGATGCAGTTTTTGTCACTATTGGATTCCAGTGCGGCATTTAATTGTGCAATTATCCGGGACTGCTATGAGGCTTTTGCATTATATTGCTTTGAAAGATACCTGATAGCTTGCCTAGGTATGTCAAATGGATGGCATATCTTACTAATTTCACTAGTTGTAGTTATTATTCTTATATATGTTTTTCCCACATGCAAAAAGTGTAAGGATTATGATATTTCAAGAGATTATACTTTCAGTCAAGTCTAGTTTAAAATCTATTAATATGTGAGGCTTGAATGTTATTATTACACACATGGCTAAAAGAATTCATACATCTTCTCAAATTTTAAATCATGTTGGATTGAACATGCTCTTCGTACAAATTTTTTTATGGTTGTTTTGTACATATTTTTTATGGTTGCTTTTAGGTGGCGAGGAGAAAACAATTCAATTTATGGAAAGTATGAGCGTAACAGACTCCAGCACTCCTCTCCTGAAAGATACATATGCATATGGAGTTGTAGAACATCCATTTCCTTTAAATTGCTTCTTAAGAGACTGGTATCTTGGCCCTGACTTCTATCAATCTGTGAAAATTGGCATCGTACAATATGTATGTTAGATTTTGGTGATTTGTGCTTTTGTTCCACTGCTCTCTCTTTTTGGGAAAGTGGAATCCATGTTTTTCTTATTGTTAATGTTGACTAAAACCTCATTCCAGATGATACTGAAAATGATCTGTGCAATGCTGGCAGTGATCCTCCAGACTTTTGGGGTTTATGGAGAGGGGCAGTTTGAATGGAGATATGGGTAAGACTATTGAAATCAACACACACACACACACACATATATATATATATTATTTCCACTTTTCTATTTCCATATCTGTATTTGTCATGGCGATTATACTGCCTGAATCCTAATTCTCTATGGCGTTTGCAGGTATCTCTACTTGGCAAGTATTCTTAATTTTAGTCAGACTTGGGCCCTGTATTGCCTTGTGCAATTCTATTCTGTCATTAAAGATAAACTGGAGCCAATCAAACCATTAGCCAAATTTTTAACATTTAAATCAATAGTCTTTCTAACGTGGTGGCAAGGAGTGGCTGTCGCATTTCTTTTCTCTATGGGAGCATTTAAGGGGTCACTTGCTCAAGAGCTGAAAACACGAATACAAGACTATATCATCTGTATAGAGGTATGCTATTTCTGTTTGCGTATTACTCTTTTTATTAATATATAACTAATGCAGACCAATAGTTCAACCTATGCATAAAAACCTTTTGATGACTGTGCTTGTCATTTATTAATACTACATTATTAAGGAACACACATATAATATCTACATGAGGTCGAGAGACTGAGGTTGTGAGAGATAAATGCGCTTGGCTACAGTCTCTAGATCTATCATAACTTCCATAACTGGATTATGGAACGGTGGAAGATTGCTCCCATAGGACTGGGTACATTAGAGATGATCATTCGCTACTCTATTTTCTTGAACATTTCAAAAAGATCAATGCTGGGTTTGCTTTTGAACAGGGACAGGGACTTAATTTGGTATTAAGCTCTGAGTCATCTGTTTTATGTTTAGTATCTTAAGTTGGTTTTTCCTCCTCTGTTAAATGCTGTGTCCCATGATTCTTGTTTGAATTGGAATTTCTGTTTGTCATCAACATGAAAGAAGCTTTCAATCAATTATGAAGTTCTGGGTCTTTTAAATGATTCCCCATCTTAACATTGTTTACAGATGGGCGTTGCTGCTGTTGTGCACCTTTATGTCTTCCCTGCAGTACCTTACAAAAGAGGAGAGAGGTGTGTCCGCAATGCAGCGGTGATGGCTGACTACGCATCCCTAGGGACACCTCCTGATCCTGCAGAGGTTCGTGACTGTGAGCGCTCAACTAGAATGCGGTTTGGTCGTCAAGATGAGAAAGATAAGAAACCTATGAAGTTTACACACAGCGTTTGTGATGTGGTTCTTGGAAGTGGTGAAATTGTGAGACATGGCACTCTACTTCAGATATTTTAATTTTCTCTTCCATCTTTATATAAAACTCATCTGCGCTGTTTTGCTGTCTTTCTGTTTCAGATTGTTGATGACATGAAATTTACAGTTTCACATGTGGTAGAACCTGTTGAAAGAGGCATTTCAAAGATAAACAAAACCTTTCATCAGATATCTGAAAATGTAAAACGACATGATGAAGAGCGGAAGAAAAACACTAAGGTCAAGGATGATTGTGACCTCGTTCCCCTGCATTCATGGAGAACTGAATTTTCTGATGTTCATGACAAACTCGTGGAAGGAGGAAGTGTCAGTGATAGTGGTTTGACCAACGGAAAGCGACATATCCAATCCAAGGGGTCAGCCTCCAGGATGAGAAGATAGTACTTAATATTTTATCAGTTCAACAACCTTTAATTTTGCACATAGATAAAAGTTCTATTAGATTTTGGTGTAGGGTGGAAAACTCAAAATAGCGGGTCTGAGAATCTGGTGAGTCTTTAAAGATGTGTAAATATAATGGAAGAGATATTGTTATGTACAGGGCTGATCAAAATTCCCACGGTTATGTCAAGGGTGAGACTGATTTTATTGTCCACACAACCTTGGAAATATTGAATGAATTGAGAAGAAAACTCCACATTTTTAGTACAATAAAAATATATCAACCTTGTTATTCTATTAAGAATATTTACATGATTTTAGCAAATATAAGCTGGCCATGTTAGGTGCCGCATGTTTTACATTTTCTTAAAATCATTTGATATTATTTGAAAACATTTCAAATAGTATAAATTATGGTTGAACAATCATTCGGGTTAGAAAATTATGTATGTTAAAATAAGTTTTACTAATATTGTTGCAAATATATAGACATTATAAATGGTTTTTTCTCTCTTTCATGGTAAAAATTATTTTTTCAAAAATTAATTTAAAAGAGTTTTTTAATTTAAACATAAAATTAAAAAATATATTTTTGAGAATAACATAAATATAGATAAAATATCAAAAGTAGTTTAAAAAAATAAAAAAATGAACAATTTTTTAAGCTAGGCATGTCCATTGAAAATTCATTTGTTTTTGACACAATTTTGAATATTGTATATTCAATAGTAGGTTTTAGGTTCTAAAACCCTTAAACATTGACTTGGTATCACCTGACATCTTTCGGACAAATTATAATTTCTTTTTTATTAAATTTAATTGGTATCCTCTAACATCTTTCGGACACATTATAATTTCTTTTTTATTAAATTTAAAAGAATATTGGAAAATGAAATAGACGAGTAAATTAAAAATTATGAATATGTTAAATAATTTAGTAATAAATGATTTTACTTATAATAGTAATAATAATCAAGAATTGAATTATTTTTTTACTTATAATGAATCAAAGTTTGAAAATACTAATAAATTTCCAAAGACCATCATCAAATTTAGATTATTTTTCATCCGTGGTGTGAGCTTCCAACCTTTAACAAATCATTAGTCATTGACATTTACATTGAATTTTCAAATGTGCGAAATTTTTAGTGAATTTTGACATTATATAAGAAATTCATAATAAGTGTTTTATTATATTATCTTTTTTTAATTTTTTTTTTACAAAAGCGAAGCTAATTTCTTTTATTCAACAAAATAAATTCAATACAAGGAGATATAACATTAACATGATTACGCCTAATTTAAGTATTGGTCGTCTTTGTTAAACAATGTGTTGTAATTGATTTTAAAACGAAAGTCGTCACCCTTAATTTTCATCACGAGAAAGAGAATATAAAGGATAACTCTAAAAAAATAGAAATTCTAGATTTTTGAATTCGGTCTTAGACGAAGAGAAGGTGTTAGACACCTCTCATCTACCTTGTTCACAAAGATATTAGGGTTTAGAAGCGTAATCTTTTAGAAAAAAGGGTTTTAATTTTTATTAGGGAAACTTGTCACGATTTTAGTCGTATGCCTACGTATCCTCTTATGAGAAATCAGAGTCTCAATTCGTAGTTCACATATGGTTTATGTTTTTTTATGAAATTGTGTAGAATTGCTTTTGAATTATCTTTGAACCTTGTATGGGTTGAAAATTGTGTGAGCGTAGACGTAGTTTGTAGTTTGATTCGAAGACAATGCTATTTAATCTTTTTTGAAAATGATTTTGAAGTTTTGATTAAATTAGTATAAAAACATTTTGATGTTGGTTAGTTTATATTAAGACGTAGAGCGATGGAGTTTGATATAGCCTCTTCATCACGTGGTCAGATATTGGTCACGTGTCATTCGCGGGTAGTGAACTTGGTGAGTTTGCGTGAATTTTAATTGTTTGATTTTGAATAATAAATCGATAGACGATCTGTCGATCGGTTTAATTACTCGAAGATAGACATCCTATTATTTATAGAATGTTTGAATTAATTAAATTAAAAAGTGATTGATTTATTCTAAAAAAAACTCAAAACATATTTTTTTGTATGTTTATTTAATAAAAGATAATTTACCTAAATAAATGATTATCTTAATTAACTAATCAAATAAGGTAACTAAATTAAAACTAAAATAAATAAGTAAATAGACTTAGGGATGCATAAGTAAAACAAGGTGTGAAATTGATTAAGCCAAATGCTAAAAGCTATATCACTAACCCAACAAACATAATGACCATAATCATAAAAAAATATAAAAAAATGCTTACACCGTAAGATCTAGGTAGCATTTATCATCATAATAGCTAACACTTTTGACTTTTCTCCTTTGTTATACCGACCAATGACATTTCGACACATGTCACATCTTTAATAATAATTAAACATAACAAATGAGTCATATCTAAATAGAATATGTTAGTATAGAAAATATCACAACTTCTTCCCTCTTTCACTTCATCGTTATCACTCATCCTCTTCTTTCTTTTACAAAGACAACAAACAAAACCCTCTTCTTCTGTTTTTTTTCCGAACTTGATTCTTCTTCTTTGTTTTTCTGAAAAAAAACCAAACAAAATGTTGTATTGATGTTTATCAGATCTGAATTTGCTTCAGATTTTGTAGTTCTTTTTTCATGTAATTTTGATCTAGTTTGTATTATGACAGGATATGTGTTGGTACATAGTAGTATTATGACTTATATGACAAAACTTGAATATTTGGAGAAAGTGATTTAGTTTGAAAGTTTTAGATTGAATTTGGAATGATAGTTGTTTGAGTAATGAGCAATGATCGACTGAGTTTGTGACAGTGAGTTTAATGCAGGAAACTTAGAAAAATTAGTTTTAAAATTTATGATGAAAGTTTGAATAGTGAATTATTTTTACACATTAAGTTTATTGTAAAAAAAAGTTTGTTATTATGTGAATAGTTATTGAAAAAAAAGTTTGGTAAAAGGTTAGCGTGCAAATATTGTACGTTAGAATTATTATAGGTTAATTGAAAATTTGTTGTTGAGTATATAAAAAAAGTTGAAAATTAATGTGATTGTAAAAAAAATCGTGTAGAAAAATTGGTGTGTAATAGTTAGTGTACAAATAAAAACCATAAGTTCCACATTATAGGGTAAAAACAATAAATTTGAAGGATGATATTGAAAATAAAAAAGTGGCCTCATAGGTCAATCATTGGCTAAAACTAGGAAAATTTAAAAAAGTTTTGAAAAAAAATGAAATTGTAAAAAGCAGTGATGAAAATGAGTGAGTGAGTGAAAAATTGTAAGATTGTTGATTTGTTGATAAATTCTGAATTTATGGGTTTGTGAGAAATTGTGGATCAATTGTGCGTGAAAATCTTGATGAATTGTGTGTGTGTGGATGAGTGAAATTGTGAGAGAGTGTAAAATTGTGTAATTTGTGGATGAAAGATTAGGACAAATAAGATTCCTATTTATAGACTTGAATTAGATTTACAAATTTAGGGAGTAAGTTATCCAAAATGTATGAAAAGTCCAAGTCCGACTTTCAAAAAAGGAAAGAAAATTAGTAACAAAAAGAAATAAAAAAATGTTAGAAATGCAACACACAAGATTCAAATCTACGACCTCATGCTTGCAAGTTTCATTCTTTACCAATTGTGCTATGTTACTCATTTGTAAATAAACTCAATTGAAAGTATATGAAAGGTGTGCAAATATTTGCTATTTTAAAAATATAAATAATTTGAAATAAATTATAATATTTTTAACTTGACTTGAGAACAAATATTTAGTAAACTCCAAAATATAAATGTAATTAAACCAAAGGAATTTCAAAACCCAAGTTCGAAAATAAATTTGACGGTAGCACTAAGGACGGACAAATTTGAGATATGACAGCTTCCCCTATTTAATTACCTTTCGATTGAATGGTGCAAGAATATACAGGTCTCGCACATTCGTATCGGAGGGTTATTAAATATTAGAAGACTCCAAAATTTGGACCCAAGATTTATTAAACAAGGTTACGCTGATATAACATACCTTAGAGCTCAAAGAAATAGGCAAGGATGATGATGTATCATCCTACCAGAGTTTGGATAAAGAAATAGGCAAAGACGATGGTGTATCATTCTACCAAAGTTTGAATTGAGAGATATGATTGAAGAGTAAGTTTGACCTAGATATGACGATGCAGATAACTCGTCAATACCTAGAAAAGAGATGATAGTTTTTTTTTGCGTATTTATCATGACCTAGGAGGTAAACAACACAAGTTAAAAGATTATAAGGATGCGCTATACAACGTTCTCATGAATATGAAGAGTAGGCATAAATGATGATCCATCATCTTACCAGATTTTGAACCGAAGTTTTGATTAGAACTTAGACACGACGTCGTGGATAACTCGTCAGTATCTAAGAGATTGTAGATTCTTTTGCATATTTACAAAAGTACAAGTTTTGAAAAAGTTGACTTTCTAATACTTGGAGACTTATATAGTGTTTTTATTTGATTTGATTTTGTCTATTCATTACAACCTAGGGGATGAATAAAACAAAGTCTGATAACACATTGCTGTCTGGAGACTGATGCAATGGATTACGCAAGTTTATTCGCATATCTACCGCACCCTAGGAGATAGATATTTGAAAAGCTTCCTAACAATATTGCTGCATGGAGACTGACACAATGAGTTATATTTCCGACTTCGTCATGTTTACTACAACCTAAGGAGTAAATAATCCGAGGATGAATTCACATATTCATTGCAACCTAGGGAATGAATAACATGAACCAGCCATTCACATATCTACCACAACCTAGGGGGTAGATGATTGAAAAAGATTGACAAGAAAATCGTTGCATGGAGACTGACGTAATGAGTTACGCAGATTTATTTGCATATCTATCACGACCTGGGAGATAGATAATTGAAAAAATTCCGATAACCACATCACTGCATGGAGACCGAGGCAATGAGTTATAT